CGCGTCCCAGGGAAAGGGATCATCCTTGGGGATTCAGCCAAATGCAAGTTTATCGTTTCTTCTCGCGCGTAGACGCGAGTCTCGTCTCGAGCGATTTCTTCCGGTGCGATTAAACGAAACAATAACCGCGATGAATCGTGTAACTTGACAGTAACTTTAAATGTATTAATCACGAAATATTCAGCAAATTGAATCCCTTCCAACGGACAGCTTGCACTCCTATTTATCACATGGAATGACGAAATAGAAATACGAGAAAAATGATCAGAATTTATTTCTCAATATGTCATATTGTTTTATCAAAGACTACATCCCTTATGAGTGATTCATGCGGCATTCATATTTTTGTCACATGAAATAGTGAATATAAAAGAAATACGAAAAAAATTTATGAAAATTTGCTCCAAGCAATATGTCATACGAAATGTGAAAATTTGAGTGTAACTTTTGGTAAATTTGTTGCCATATCAATATAACAAAAAGATAAAACAAATTTACATTGTAATATGATGTAAATTTGACAATTAATCCTATACGATATATTTTGCTCTTTATAGATGTAATTAAAAGAATTATAAAGTTCCCATCATCGATTGTCTCACGTCAAAAACGTTGATAATCACAAGAGTCTATCTGGGAATAAAATGCACGCACCATTCGACGCGCTTATTTAAAAAATACATCGTGTATAGGTTTCGCAGGTTATCTCATGACTCCACTTGAACGCGACTCGTGCACTGAGAAAAAAATTACTAAATTTCAAGAAACGTTTGTTTGGATAGTACTGTGAAAATAGTTGTTTAAATTAAGTAATTATTTTCTAAAATTAAATAAAGAAGTATTAAATATACATTTGTTTCTTTAATTTTAAAAAATAATTACTTAATTTAAATATCTTCACAGTACTATCCAAACAAACGTTTTTTGAAATTTAGTAAATTTTTTCTCAGTGTTAGGAACACGAGAGGAATCGCGGATACTTGCAAATTTCCATCTGAGATGCAAGACACGTACATTATGCTCCCGTATTTTTCCGTACCGCGGAATGTTTAAAATATCGTATATGTTTTACAATGTTGATTTATTGTCTGGAGTCAAGCGCAGATATGTATTTGCAATCCGCAACCTATCGAAAATAATTACCATCGCATCGGCGAGCGGATCGATCGTCGTGTCGTGTACACTTTCTACTCGTCGTTAATCGTCGAGTGTCGTCGAGTGCACGTCGGATGCGCGAGTTTCTCTTTCGCGTAAACACTCGCGACAGTCGCGAGGGCCCGCGGTGCGTTCCGCGGTCATAAATCGTCGGGACAGATCCATCGATCAATCGCTAAAATCGCGACACTGCGCGCGAGCCGCTGCCTCCATTAGCGGTATGAATTCTTCGGCGGCGTGTACACACGACATCCCCCCCTCCGCGCGCCGGCACAAAGTAAAAGTTAATTGAACCCGTGGCACTCGGTTAGAGACGTGTTTACGTCGCGATTCATCACCGTCCGCCTCTTACGCGGCCGTGTTCTCGCGGCCGCCATTAAAATAATCGCGGCTGAATGAGCGGAGAGCGACTCGATTGAGAGACGGATAACGATGAGTCACTCCCTCGTCGCGATTATTCATATTTCCCGTGCGCGCGAGAAGAAGAAGTTCTCTAATTGCACCTTTGTTCCGCGCGCGATACGGGGCGTAATTCATGGCGCAAGTGAGGACGAAGTGAAATCCGCAAGGTGTCCGGTGGGTTACAACGGTTTCTCGTGCGTCATACCCTCCTTTGTCGATCCTTGAGCACGCGCTCTCTCACAGGCACGTCGCAATGTATGCGCGTTGCGCAAACGAAAAGTGCCGGTGAACACACGAGCATAAATCGATATTAACGCGAAGAATACGAGTGCGTTTAGTATTTTCCGTCAGCCGCTTATCGCGTTTGCGTTTGTAACTGGATAACTGTGATTACATAAATCGTTGAATTGATTAAAACGCCCATACCGCCGCGTAACGCATTGCACACAAGCGTGCTTGTAAACAAGGAGGAGGGCAGAAATATCTAAGAAATATATAAAATATTTTTCAAATAAGAAGATACACGTTTGTTCTTAGAAAGACCTCAGCTTCTCGCGTTTATTCCATTTAAATCAAAGAATTCAGAATTCATTTCTCAATAAATACAGGGTGTCCGGTAACTGATCGAGCAACTGCCGTGTACAGGTCAAAATAATCATAAAAGTTATATACCATTTTGAAATTTTCTCAATATTTATTCCGTAATTAATTAAAATGTATAAACGAATAAGCTCACGAGAAGCGGTAGGACAGGTTCTGTGTGTAAAAGAAATGGCTTACTTCTTAGCAACGATGAGTAAATAGCTGATTTCAAGGCGGAGTAACATATACGTGCCGCTTGTTACTCCGCCTCGAAATCAACTGTTTACTCATCGTTACTAAGAGTTAAGCCATTTCTTTTACACACAGAGCCTGTTCTACCGCTTCTCGTGAGCTTATTCGTTTATAAATTTTAATTAATTACGGATTAAATATTGAGAAACTTTCAAAATATATAACTTTTATGATTATTTTGACCCGTACACGGTGGTTGCTCGATCAGTTACCGGACATCCTATATATCATTAGTTCCCATCAAATAAATATTTGCTATTCTTCAGATATATTTTTCCTCTCAACATATAATTAATAATGGATCCTTTTGCTCTCGCAGTCGACGTGCCCAGATTTTATCCAGCGCACAAACAGCTCTGGATATGTGTAAAAATTTGCGCTCGCCTGTACACACATATACGTATATTATAAACCAATTTCGCCGTGAATATTTTACGTTTCGCGAAATGCACCGCATGCGTAATTAAACTTTAAAAGATTAAATGTTTTCAGCGTTACACGCCATGATGTAACGATCAATGGTCGCAATTGTTTTAATTGTGGCATTAATTTCGCATTACACGCCAGACGAGAGCCAATGATACGACATTACACACCGCCAGCGTGTTCGCGCTTATTAAGAATGTACAATAGCTATTTGTAAAGAACGTTTGACAAGTCCTGAACGAACGCGCTTTAGCACTTGTAACCGTCGCCATTTATGCACGGCTTGTCGATTGGCGTTTTCAGAAATTAATGCTCCGACTCTCGGCGGCGGCGTTGGCGGCGGCTTGCTCATTGTTCGAATTCTAAGGGCAAACACGCGCGACGCCGTTAAAAATTTATCAATACGCGAGCCACGCATATTGAAACGATATTTCATTCCTCTCGCCGTCGGACCTCTCCACCGTCCATGTTTTTGTAATTTGGCACGCTTCCGCATTTTTATGCGGTGTAACGGATGGCGCGTAGCTCACGATCGATATGAATTAAAGGTTATCAGAGGTTAGGAAGGAGAATACGACAACTTTATGTTATTCATCAGAAAGAGTTATTATCAATCTCACGAAATAATTTTATTTACGATAATGTAGTTGAAATTTTGCGCGACAGCTTATCTTTTATCTTCTTTTAAGATTATTTTTAATTTAATTTCTTATTAATTAATTTAGTTTAAATGATTTATTTAATTTGTCTAATTTTTTGTATTTTTAATTTGCGCAAAAGAGAACGTTAAGCGTTTGCGGAATAAAATGTTCCTTTAGCGTACGCGTGACAAGAATTATCGCTTCGTGCGTAATTTTTGTCTTCATTAGGAGCGCGCACACAGATTCGAAGGACGAATGCAGACGACACTCTCAAAAATTTATAGACACCAACGGTCGCACCCTCTTGGCGATTTTTCAAACGGAACCTTACAAAAGCTCGTCTGCGTCTTTCTCTCTCTCTCTCTCTCTCTCTCTCTCTCTCTCTCTCTCTCTCTCTCTCTCTCTCCTTCTCT